ATGGTGTACCAGTCGCTAGGACTGATTGTTTCCATTAATTTTGGTTTTCTTCTTTCTTCTTGATGAGGAGAGACCTGTTGTTGCATCTAGATGGCAGCTTCCTAGCTTTTAAGGTCCCAGTCGCTACCCAAGTGCTTTAGAATTTAAGCTCTAATACTACATACACTATATGGTATTTGTGATTTGACGTTTTTGGCTACAGTTCTGTGAAGGCTATGATGCACATTTCTGTAAGGGACATTAAAGCATGCTACTTAGCCTTTGGATTTACTTGAATAAGTTTTTTTCCTTTGCATGTAAAAGTAGCAAATTTTGAAATCATCGTATTTGGTTAGTTAACTTCAGAAATAGGAGAGTCTAAGTAAAATCCTGTTCAGAAGTGATCTTTCCAAGTTTCTTCATGTGTTTATTAGTTTTGATCATTTGATGAAAAGTTTATACAAGAACTCAGCCTGTGAGCATCCATTTACTACCAGTCCTTTCCTGAAAGAAATACATTAATTCTATTATTTATGATAGTGTTTGAATATTTTAAAGGAAATGTCAGTAAACCTATATTCAAAACATACAGTATGTGAAGAAGGAAAAGGATTTTCACAGTTAAATGTCTGCCCTTTTCAGGTCCCCCAGCTCCACCTTTGCCATCCGTTATGTCTCCTAGCAGGGTTGCAGCTAGTCAACTGGGTCAACAAGGAAGTGATTTAATTGTTCCTGCAGGTATTCACTGCACTGAATAAATCCTTTCTTGCTACTGCTTGAAGCTAACCTAATTCAGTTTCACTTGCTTTATATTCTTTAGGTTTGTGTTATTCTGACTCCACTGGTGGCTGCTACACTTTTTTTTTTTTTTTTTTTAACAATACTAGAAATAGCTTTTCTTACAATAACTTATCTTTCTGTTTTCTCAAAGTTGATGGCCTATATCTCAAACCTGAAATTTAATTCACTTTAAGGTTTTGAAAAAGTATAAAATATGTATTTGTTTTAAAGCATTCTTTCTTTGCTCTCGAAAATGTCAGTTTGCTGTATTTGATCCTAAACTCCCAGCTTTGCAGCTCTGCCCACCATTTGCCATTAAGCAAAAAAAAAAAAAAGGTGGGGGTGGGTCTCTAACAATTGGAATGATTATTATTGGGAATGGGTCAATTGGAAAGGTTTGTATTTTCCTATTTTCAGCCTCAGTTTACAAAGTGTATAGGTTGTAACAAATACTTTGTAATTTACCAATTATACCCAATGAAAAAATACTTGGGAATAATCAATTTTGGGGCATTGAATTTACTCTTCACTTTAATATGGCTAGGCTATTAAAAAAAAAAAAAAAAGAACTCCACATTTCTTTTTATATGACATTAAATTTATATTTCATTTTTATGAGAATTTTATAAATTCTTAAATGTATTTGGTTTTATGCATAGTTTTTGATCTTAGACTGTGATAAAGGCTGATCTGACTATAGCAATGAGTGAGAAGAAATTTGCTGAACCTATTTTTTTTAAACCATTTTTCTTCTCATTTCCCTTATTTCATTGTTCTTAAATTATGAGAAAGTTTCCATCCCAAATCATTATTATCAAAACATTTATTAAGTACTTTTCTGCTATGAAAAATATCTACTACTAGAAATTATATAATTCTAGAGTTGCTCTTCGGAAGGAAGATGGGGCAGTCTACTTCCATAGTGATACTGCCTCGGAAACCCAAGGAGGGGTCTCTATGAGTCGGGTCCGACTCAACGGCACATAACAACAACAACAACAACAGAGTTGCTCTTATGTAATAAATTTCTTAATTGTTGGGGCTTTACATTATCAGGGCTTTAGCACTGCCTTTATTAATTATGACCTTTTGGGTTTTTTGTTTTTCTGTTGGTCTCTTGAGAGAAAGGAGGTAGAATGTGGCTCTTGTTTCAACCCAGCATTTTATATTAATGGCAAGATATTTTTGATGACTGTTTGAAATTTTAATTATATTTTAAAATCTTCCAGAATTATAGCAGTGTTCTGTATTTACTCTCTACATAGTACAGTGAAAGAAGATCACTGTGGGGAATACATGGCTTTTCAAATTAATACTGGTAAAAACTTTTCTTTATGGTCATTAAAAAACAAACCCAGACTCACTGCTGTCGAGCCGGATCCAACTCATAGCGACCCCTCCTTGGGTTTCCAAGATGGTATCACTATGGAAGTAAGATTCCAAGGAGTGGCTGGTGGGTTTAAATCACCAGTCTTCTAGTTAGCAGTCGAATGCCTTAGGCACTAGGCCACCAGTTGTGGAAATCTTTTTTTTCTTGAAGTGATCAACAGCTTACGCAGAAAAGAAGACTGATTATAGCAGAATTTTGTTTTTTATTAGAAGATAGCTAAACCACATGACATTTTTAATGAAGAGAAGTATTTTCTAAGTGATGAGGAAATTATTCTCAATGATTCCAGGAAGTCCTAGTCTATTACTTTATGAGAACCTATTTATTTTTGAAATGCATAAATAGTTGAATTTGAACAGCATTAGTGTTTTGCCTTCTTTTCCCCACTTGCCTTTATCTGGTTTGTGTTTTTATCTTTTGTTATAATCATTCAGGTGGCCAGAGAACACAGACAAAAAGTGGACCAATTATTCTGGCAGATGAAATTAAAAATCCTGCAATGGAAAAATTAGAACTTGTTAGAAAATGGAGTCTAAACACCTACAAGGTTTGTAATTTTAATATTTCTACACTAAATGGCTCTAAGAATTTTCATTTGTATGTTATCTAAATTATATAACTAACTATACAAACATTTAGGGGAGACATATGTCATTTAAACATGGAAATTCAGTTAGAGAATGTGGTATTTTATGATTTTAGTAGCTTTTAAAATTTAAAAGTTTTTCTTTTGCTACTGAATTTTTCAGCTACATTTTCAGATTTTACAGGCTATTAAAATGCTTATTAACTGATAGATGATGGACAATTAAAGAAATATATTGCTTTGAAATATGTTCAGATGTAGAACTGCTATAGGAGCTCTGGTAGCATAATGCCTAAGGCACTTAACTGCTAACCAGAAGACTGGCGGTTCAAGCCCACCAGCTACTCCTCGGAAGGAGGGCTGGGCAATCTAGTGATACTGCCTCAGAAACCCAAGGAGGGGTCACTTTGAGTCGGGTCCGACTCGGCAACACATAACAACAACAACAGAACTACTATAGATGTATTTATCTCTCTGACTCCTTTCTCTACTCTGCCTAACACAGTTCACTGCTGTTAAAAAATCTTTCCATGGATCCTTACTGTATTTACAGTTGCAGAGTCTGCCCCATATCTACCTCTTCAACTTCACCTCTTGCTGCTCTTCTTTTCCACCCAGGGATCCAGTGATGTATACCAAAATACCCAATGATTTCCTAAACGGGCTATGCTTTCTCACATCTCTATATCTTTGTTCATGAGGCTGCCTTTGCCTACTGCTTGGAATTCCCCTTCATGCTCTCTTTTTATTTTACTTGTTTATCTTCCATGCAAGATTCACCTTCAGTAACTTATTTATTTGGCCATTCCTTTGTTCATTTATTCATGACATTTTCCTTTTACTATTAGCAATCTATGTCTGTACATTTTGAACTTAAAAACATAGGTCCTCTTTCTGAACCAAATCCTACTAATTGCAAATTGCATGTTCTTTTTTTTTTAAGATTTAAACTTTCATTCTTTTGAGCCTTCCTCTATTGTGTCACTTAGTTTGTGTTTTCCTTGTTCCTTATCTTCTTTTTCTTACATATGTATGTTATTATCTATCCCTTATTTTTCTGGCTCTTACCTCTATAATAATTTGAATCAAATCACTGTTAAAACTCAAAATTTATCTTTGTATATTAGTATATCACTTTCAGTCTTTCCTAAAGTTTGTATTAATAAAACTGACCTGTCTTTAAAATGTTTTACCTATGGTATAAATGAATGTGAAAGAGATCGTTTTCTCCAAGTGATCACTTTATTTTTAAGTGAATTTTTTTTTTTTTTCATCAGAGCTTAATTTGGATATTTCAGACTAGGTCAAAAGAGAAAAAGAAACTTCTGACTAACATGATTTTATGGAGCTGATAGCTGAATGAGGTAGTTAGGTGGTGCAAACAGTTCAGTGCTCGACTGCCAGACGAAAGGTTGGGGTTAGAACCCACCCAGAGGCACTTTGGAGGACAGGCCTGACAATCTGCTTTGTGTGTGTGTGTGTGATTTGGGTGAAGGTTTACAGAGCACATTCACTTTCCGTACAGCGGTTCAAATATACTTCGTCTCATGACATTGACCACAGTTTACCACAATGCAACAACTCCTCTCCCACTTCCTCCCCATAGTTACCTCTTCCCTTTGTCCATCCCTCCATGCACTCCTGCCCCCTGAGCTGTCTCC